TTATATACTGAGCACTATTTTAACAGTGAATATTTATATATTGCTCTACATTTAATATACTGAGCACTATTTTAACAGTGAATATTTATATATTGCTCTACATTTAATATACTGAGCACTATTTTAACAGTGAATTTTTATATATTGCTCTACATTTAATATACTGTGGACTATTTTAACAGTGAATATTTATATATTGCTCTACATTTAATATACTGTGGACTATTTTAACAGTGAATATTTATATATTGCTCTACATTTAATATACTGTGGACTATTTTAACAGTGAATATTTATATATTGCTCTACATTTAATATACTGTGGACTATTTTAACAGTGAATATTTATATATTGCTCTATATTTAATATACTGTGGACTATTTTAACAGTGAATATTCATATATTGCTCTACATTTAAATTAAACATACTGAGCACTATTTTAACAGTGAATATCTATATATTGCTCTACATTTAAATTAAACATACTGAGCACTATTTTAACAGTGAATATTTATATATTGCTCTACATTTAATATACTGTGGACTATTTTAACAGTGAATATTTATATATTGCTCTATATTTAATATACCGAGCACTATTTTAACAGTGAATATTTATATATTGCTCTACATTTAAATTAAACATACTGAGCACTATTCTAACAGTGAATATTTATATATTGCTCTACATTTAATATACTGTGGACTATTTTAACAGTGAATATTTATATATTGCTCTACATTTAATATACTGAGCACTATTTTAACAGTGAATATTTATATATTGCTCTATATTTAATATAACGAGCACTATTTTAACAGTGAATATTTATATATTGCTCTACATTTAAATTAAACATACTGAGCACTATTTTAACAGTGAATATTTATATATTGCTCTACATTTAATATACTGTGGACTATTTTAACAGTGAATATTTATATATTGCTCTACATTTAATATACTGAGCACTATTTTAACAGTGAATATTTATATATTGCTCTATATTTAATATACCGAGCACTATTTTAACAGTGAATATTTATATATTGCTCTACATTTAAATTAAACATACTGAGCACTATTTTAACAGTGAATATTTATATATTGCTCTACATTTAATATACTGAGCACTATTTAACAGTGAATATTTATATATTGCTCTACATTTAATATACTGAGCTCTATGTTAACAGTGAATATTTATATATATTGCTCTACATTTAAATTAAACATACTGAGCACTATTTTAACAGTGGATATTTTTTATATTGCTCTACATTTAAATTAAATATAGTGTGCACTATTTTAACAGTGAATATTTATATATCACTCTACATTTAATATACTGAGCACTATTTTAACAGTGAATATTTATACATTGTTCTACATTTAATATACTGAGCACTATTTTAACAGTGGATATTTTTATATTGCTCTACATTTAATGTACTGTGGACTATTTTAACAGTGAATATTTATATATTGCTCTACATTTAATATACTGAGCACTATTTTAACATTGAATATCTATATATTATTCTAGATTTAATATATTGTGGACTATTTTAACAGTGAATATTTATAAATCACTCTACATTTAATATACTGAGCTCTATGTTAACAGTGAATATTTATATATTGTTCTACATTTAATATACCGAGCACTATTTTAGCAGTGGATATTTATATATTGCTCTATATTTAATATACTGTGGACTATTTTAACAGTGAATATTTATATATATCCCCCTAGATTTAATATACTGAGCACTATTTTAACATTGAATATCTATATATTATTCTAGATTTAATATATTGTGGACTATTTTAACAGTGAATATTTATAAATCACTCTACATTTAATATACTGAGCTCTATGTTAACAATGAATATTTATATATATCGCTCTACATTTAATATATTGAGCTCTATGTTAACAGTGAATATTTATATATATCGCTCTACATTTAATATACTGAGCACTATTTTAACAGTGAATATCTATATATTATTCTACATTTAATATACTGTGGACTATTTTAACAGTGAATATTTATATATATCCCTCTAGATTTAATATACTGTGGACTATTTTAACAGTGAATATTTATATATATCCCCCTAGATTTAATATACTGAGCACTATTTTAACAGTGAATATCTATATATTATTCTACATTTAATATACTGTGGACTATTTTAACAGTAAATATTTATATATATCCCTCTAGATTTAATATACTGTGGACTATTTTAACAGTGAATATCTATATATATCCCCCTAGATTTAATATACTGAGCACTATTTTAACAGTGAATATCTATATATTATTCTACATTTAATGTACTGTGGACTATTTTAACAGTGAATATTTATATATATCCCTCTAGATTTAATATACTGTGGACTATTTTAACAGTGAATATTTATATATATCCCCCTAGATTTAATATACTGAGCACTATTTTAACAGTGAATATCTATATATTATTCTACATTTAATATACTGTGGACTATTTTAACAGTGAATACATTTTTTATTGTATACATTTTACTGTTTGTATTTGTATGCTGCCTTTAAAGGTTGTATATACAATAAATGGTGAATTATAAGTTTTTAATCAAAGATAGTGGACCACAGCAATATACGCCCACCACGGCATGCGGATGGTAAATATTCAAGATTTTGGGGCAAGGGCAATAACTCTGGTTCTAACGATCGAAAATAGCTCAAATTCAAACTTGATCTTCGTTTTATGAATATGTATACACATACCGAATTTCATTTGATTCCATTAAAAAAATCTAGTTTTTAGAGCGTTTACAAGCAAATGTTGACAGACAGCACTCAACCGATGGACCTTTGTTTCATGAATATGTATACACATACCGAATTTCATTTGATTCCATCAAAAAATCTAGTTTTTGGAGCGTTTACAAGCAAATGTTGACGGACGGACAGGGGACAGGGGTGCTGACAATATACGTCCACATAGAGAGATGTAGGCATATAAAAAATTAATATACCTTTTGTTATGTTTTGTGTTACTGTAATTGAATATGTGATAAAATCATAGTCATCATCAGTTTGTAGAGTAAATCTTATTTTATTGTATGATGTTAGTTTAGAAAAGTCTCGAGTAAAACACCATGAATAAAATTGGGTACCAGCTGAAAAATACAAAATAAATTTATATGAAATAGACAATTCTTATTTCCCAATTGTAAATGATACAATGTTTTCATTGACAACAATTATATCATGCAGTAGACATATGCTTTAGCTATAAAATCCTCATCAGGATCTTGCTAAATTCTTCAATAAATTACTTTTTGTTTGCCTATTGTCATCACAGAAACTGAAATCCAAATGAACTTTTATGGCTTTAATTGAATCTATGGCCTTTTTTTGACCTGTCATAAGAAAATTTTATGATTCTTAAATCTAAATCATTCTGAAAATCTGATTGGTCAATTTGAGCCAATCAGAGCTCTTGTATATTCTCCAAGCGACCATCACTTTGCACAGGATAGTGAAATTTAGACAACTTACAGTTATAGAAGTATACTTTATCAGTACAAGTCACTATATTCCTATAATTAGAGCGACCTTGGATAGAGATAACAGCATTCTTATCAGAAGCTGATACTTCATAGTGACACAACAAATTCCTAAACAAAAATAACATACAAGATGAAGTGTGTGTCAGTTTCATTAAAACAAAAAAGTTTTATTGCTTTTGTTTTGGTTTTTCCATCAAAGTCAATGAAAAAGCACCACTCTTAGTTGGATCAATCTAAGGTTTTTCTAAGTATAGTATACCCATACACAGATTTTGAATGTGACATATTTTGCTTTCGTATTGTTCCCTTGAGGGCAGAATTAGAACAGACTGAAACTGTTCAGAACTGACCAATCGAGTGCCACCCATCAAGACCAGTCATAATTCTGATTAAAAATATATACTATATGAGCCAAAATTCTACCACTCCTTCAGATTTTCAGGCGATCTAAAAATCTTAGTTTTAGTACGCAATCAAAAAGATATAGATTTTGATAAGTTTTTGGCACCTCGAAATTGGCAGAAATGCACTCTCAGAGCCTTTAATTTTTACAATTACAAAGTACAAAATCTGAGCCCAAGTCCAAATTCATTCCTGACGAAGGGGCTGTCCACCAGTTAACTTTAAAAAAAAAATTTGCAAATATTCTTCTTTAGTATAAGACAAACTTACTTAGGAACTGATCGACTATATTTGGGACTGTAAATTTTGACAAACCCTGGAGATATTGGAACTTCTATCTTCTGCATGAAGCCTTGACATTCATCTAATTTAATAATACAAAATATTACAACTGTTAGTTCCTTTGTATAATGAAAATTGCAATAGGCCGTGCTTTGTGCAATGGGGAAACTTTTCAAGAAAAGTGATGCGTTTCAATGCTCAACAATTAATTGCAGGTGTAGGTCCAACTGCATTTCAATCTGATAAGTGATACATTTAACTGAAATTGATATCAAAAATGTTAAATTGACAATATCCCTCTATTGAAAGATAATAGGTCGAGATAATACCTTCGGATTTTTCCCCTGTCAGTGATGCAGGTAAGAGGGGCTGACATGGAAAAAGCGTCTAGTCGTTCTGATGGGACAATAAACTGAGGCCTTGACGTCAAGATCCCTTGACAGTTGGAAATTGAAAAAAAACAGGCTAATGCCACTGTCCTAGCAAAATTTCCCTCATTGCCCGTCTTCATTAGCCACTTGGTGCAGAAAAGTAGGACGTAAAACTCCATTTATTTCATTTCTATTTCCTTGCCAGGTAAGGTAACGAACACCAATGGTGGCAATTAAGAAAGAATCATTTTTTTGTGGTAAAACAATTTATCAACATTAACCTTGTCAAAAATCTTATCAATCTTCCAAAATAAGATGAAAACTCTAGTCTCTATTGTGTATGGTACTATGAAAAAAAAACCCCAAAACTCATCAGTCTAAATATGCATCATCTGACTACAACAAGGGCAATAACTCTTAAAACTTTTTGGGGAATATCATAAACTCCATATTTAATCAGATTGAAGCTTTGGATGTTAATTTCATAAATGAAGCGTGAGCAATGACTAAAATTCCATCTGCGAATCTTATCCAAGTTTGAACTTGTTCAATATTTTATCATCCAATACAATCATGTCATACCCATCAGTTATACCCATCTGTCCTCCCTGTCTGTTATACCCATCTGTCCTCCCTGTCAGTT